CAAGATAGGACCCTTTTGTCCATTGTTATTGGATAGGAACAGAACTTATAACCAGCTCCTGACCTAAATAGATCTTAGCACAACATTTTACTCAACATATCATATTCCATATTCACTATAACAAATATATTTACTACGACATTAGCAAGAACCGCCACATCCTCAGCCGGCTAATCCAGTGTGTGAAGTTTTGCGGAGTGTTTGAGTTAGCTTTGCGAGGCAAAGATGAAACTGAGGGCTCCACCAACCCTGGTAAGCCAACACTTTTGAGATCAGTCAATAAATGCTTCTGGTATTGACTTATATGCTGCCCCTGTCTTCATGTTGTTGCTGGACATATCTTTTTTTAAATGTGTGTAGGTCACCTAAATCATCAGAAAAATTGCCCCTCCTGAGAATTTTTTCAGGAGCCGCCACTGAGTAGGAGTAGCAGTGTTTTCAGTGGTAATCCATGTTTCCGTCAGCGCCAAGAAGTCGAGGGACTGGAGGGTAGCATAGGCTGAGATGAACTCTGCCTTGTTGGCCGCAGAACGGCAGTTCCAGAGGCTGCCGGAGACCTGGAACTCCACGTGGGTCGTGTGTACAGGGACCACCAGGTTAGAGAGGCAGCAGCCACGCGGTGTGAGGCGTTTGTATAGCCTATGCGGAGAGGAGAGAACAGGGATAGACAGAGGCATAGTTGACAGGCTACAGAAAATGGCTACAATAATGCAAAGGAGATCGGAATGAAATGAACTAAACATCTGGGAAAGCGAGAGAGCGGGGCCTCCCTCACTTACGTTTCACTGAAACACCCAAATATAACTCTCCCAACTTCCACCTCAGAAACTATAATTGTTGTAAACTACAGCGGCTCAATGTTTTCTAGGAATAGACTAACATCGTTTATTCAGCTAGCTAACTTGGTACAGTATTCTTTCGTGAAAACCGTCCAGGGCACCTAGTCATATGACGCCACAGCCAACTAGCATGCCGGACTCCAACAACACGGTTTAGCACCAATACTCGGCCACAACAAACCACCAGTGTGTCAACACGCCAAGCAGATCATTCGTGTCCGTGTCTAATGTTGTTGGATAGTCCCGACAGCTTGAGCGAGTCCGTCGTCAACTTATTCAGCCAGTTAGTTAGCTAGAATAGTTAGCATACTAGCTAGCCATTGCTTTCTGCCAACGAAGAAACCCATCCTCCCACAGCACAAACACACAGAGAGAGCCAAGCTAACGTTAACTAGTCACCCATGTCCCAAATTCCCTTGAACGACTCTGGCTACCAGTATGTAAAAACAAAACACAAATGTAGGTTATAACTTACCCCTAGCAGCTACTGTTAGCTAGCCAAGTGCAAAGCTAGCCACTGAATTGACTCAGCCAGTTCACGTCTGTTCGCTAGGTCGTTCCAGCTATTGTTTAGTAGCTATCCAGGTAGCAACAAGCTAGCTACATTTCGAGCACAGTAGCTACTTACTACCTAACGTTAACGCTTCAGACAATGAGGTTAGAAAAACAGCTGAATGGTAGGCATTATTTTATGTAGTTATTGTATGCAGCTAGCTGGCGTAATTACAGGTACTCTCAGGCGTGAAACAACTATCCACAGTTGCTAATAGTTACCAGTAGCTACCCGCTAGCTAGTCCAGGTAGTGGGTTAGCTAGCTTCGTGCTTCACCGGGCTCAGCCGAATACAATACCTACAATAATTACATACAACAACCCACGATAACTACCTACAATCTAAATACATAATTTAAGCTTTACTCGACAAAGCTTAAACTATGTATATAAACCATATAAGCCAAGCTTACCTCCCGCCAGAGAGAGACACAACCTCACCCGACGAGGATTCGGGTGAGGTTGTGATTCACAATAAGACCTCTCTAACCACAAAGCATCCACCTGCTATTCTCAGGACATCCCACCAGCTCTCACATGTACTGTAGCCTACCAGTGATGCCTGCTGGGTACAGGCCTGTCAGGTATTACCACAGAGGGGTTACAAAGGGAAAAGGCAGTGTGATAGAGAGAAAGCCATTAAAAAGTGGAGTGTCTTGGAGTGGCTCTCCCACAGCTCCTGATTAAAGCTGATGGCCGTAGGAGCTCTGTAATTACCTACGGTGCCAATTTGCTTCAGAGAGGAGGGAGGGAGGCTGCAGGACCAGGTGTAAAACAGAATATTTTAGGATTATTTCCTAATAGCTTCAAAAATATATTCATGCATCACTGGCATACCAACAGCCACTGACTGCCACTGGGACAGCAGGATTAGTGCACCTGCTACCAACATGATGCAAGGGTTCAGTTGACCCGCACTAAATATTTGCATCTTTTCGTCACTCTAAAAGTATACCAGTGTCATACAGTGGTTACAGAAATTAAGGTATACCGCAGGCTTACCACTTCATACATCTTAAATCTAAATTAAAACTACATTCTACAGATTTTAAAATAAAATTGTAAAGATCGTGGCACAATAAGTCAAATGGAATTAAATTAGTTTAAAATGTCATTGGCTGTGACATCTAGTTGGATGCATATTGTGACAATGAATCAGAGGGAGGTCAGAGTAGACTAGCTGGGATAATGTGATTGGGGAATTATGTGTATCCCACAGCATGCACACACACACACACACAAACACAGGATGCCCTCCGGCATCATCCAGCTCTGCATAATTTAGACCATAATTTAAACTCAATCATGTCGCTCCACATCCAGCCCAAGTGCTAGGCCACTGGAGGTCTGGCCCTAAAGTGGGTTGGTGGCACAGTTGTCCCCTTGGACATGCACTTAATATGAGTGGGGATGCATCTATACTAATATATGAATACATAATGTAATCATATATTACTTACTGATTTCACATAAGACTGTTTTTGGCCATAGCAGCAAGCAAAATGGCTTAAAACTACTATCAAACTTAGAACATTTCTCTCAACAGTGCATTACACAAGCCAAGGGGTATTTTCTCCCAGTTTACAAGAGCATACACAAAAAGCAATGCGTTTGTGTTCTCCTCTCCTTATATTCAGTAATGACATCAGCAAATTATCCAGTTATGTTGATTTATACTCCAGAGCAAGCCTACACATTTAGGGATATACAGTGCATTCGGGAAGTATTCAGACCCCTTGACTTTTTCCACATTTTGTTACGTTACAGCCTTATTCTAAAATGGATTAAAACATTTGTTTTTTTTGTCATCAATCTACACACAATACCCCATAATGACAAAGCAAAAACAGGTTTTAGCAAATGTATTTAAAAAAAAACGGAAATATCACATTTACATAAGTATTCAAACCCTTTCCTCAGTATTTGACTGAAGCACCTTTGGCAGCGATGACAGCCTTGACTTGGGCATGACGCTGCAAGTTTGGCACACCTGTATGTTGGGAGTTTCTCCCATTCTTCTCTGCAGATCCTCTCAAGCTCGGTCAGGTTGGATGGGGAGCGTCGCTGCACAGCTATTTTCAGGTCTCTCCAGAGATGTTCGATCGGGTTCAAGTCCGGACCCTGGCTGGGCCACTCAAGGACATTCAGAGACTTGTCCTGAAGCCACTCCTGGAGCGCTGTCAAGAGTGACCATGGGGTTCTTGGTCACCTCCCTGACCAAGACCCTTCTCCCCGTTTACTCAGGTTGGCCGGGCGACCAGCTCTAGGAAGCGTCTTGGCGGTTCCAAACTTCTTCCATTTATTAATGATGGAGGCCACTGTGTTCTTGGGGACATTCAATGCTGCAGAAATGTTTTGGTACCCTTCCCCAGATCTGTGCCTCGACACAATCCTTTCTCGGAGTTCTACGGACAATTCCTTCAACCTCATGGCTTGGTTTTTGCTCTGACTTGCAATGTCAACTGTGGGACCTTATATAGACAGGTGTGTGCCTTTCCAAATCATGTCCAATCAATTGAATTTACCACAGGTGAGCTCCAATCAAGTTGTAGAAACATCTCAAGGATGATCAATGTAAACAGGATGCACGTGAGCTCAATTTCGAGTCTCATAGCAAAGGGTCTGAATACTTATATAAATAAGGTATCCGTTTTTTTTTTTTTTATAAATTTGCAAATATGTCTAAAAACCAGTTTTCGCTTTGTCATTATAGGGTATTGTGTGTAGATTGATGAGAACACATTAAAAAAAAAAAAAAATAGAATAAGGCTGTAATGTAACAAAGTGTGGAAAAGGGGAACGGGTCTGAATACTTTCTAAATGTATTATTGCACTATTAAACAGATGAGTCCAGGGAAACAAAAGCCATGTGAAACTGCTGATGCCAAGTTCCTCCCCTTGCTCTCCAGCCTGCATTGCCCTTCTATAGAGTCAGCTAGGTCTCCATGGGGACAAGGCAGAGCGGAGTGCTCTCTCCTCTCCACAGCTGCGTCCTTCAATGGCCACTCAGACTGGGTGTTAATTACAGAAAGACCACTGTCTCACCATGCAGCAGATGGGCTTAGTCAGCAACTTCACTAGACACTTTTTGGAGGCTAAATCTCCTTTGTGAGTTCCCCGGCCCATACGGTCTGATTTGTGTTCGCCTTACACTGTAGTATACTGCCCCCTGGCATCGGAGTACAGTACTGCTAAGGAAGATATTACACTTTTTCTCAACTATGGGGAGGCTACAGTGAAGAGTCAACTGCAAACAATCTGAAAACTATCTGTCATTTAATGGCATATCGAAACTTTATAGTCAGCCATGGAAATGGAGTCATTCATTTTTTCAATATTTTATTTGTAAAGCAATAAAATTGGTCATAAAAACAAACTATTAATGCATAGTATTCCACCAGAGGCCAGAGTACAAGTTATGAAGCTAAATCTAAAGCCACATCTCTGCCATACCATGCTTGAAATCACTAAACAGAGCCAAAAAACAGTCCAACCCAATCTACCATATAAAAAATAATGATAATAATCTAATATCTTCATGCAGGGATGGGATGTATGAGTCTTGCCAGTGTGTAGTGAGTTAGGTTACAGTCACACTCCACTGTGTGATTAAGTGTTGTGGCGGTCAAGGTGACGGTGACAATGGACATGGTAACCTGGGTGATGGCTGTCATGGGAAAGGAAACCCCCATGACGATGTGGATGGCGATGGTGATAATGGTGGCGTGAGCGGTGGTGTCGTTTATGATGTCGTGGCCCCTTATCCCTGAGAAGAGATGCTTTGAGCAGCCTGGTGAACGGGAAGCTACCTTTGCCACACAGCGTCCCTGTGAAGTCGTCAAGATCCAGAGACCACACCATGGCTCCACCCAGCTCCTGACGCTGCAGCGCTCTCATCTGCAGAGGAGCAGGGGAAGGAAGGAGTTTTACACATAGCTATGATAGTTATTGGATCAAAATTAGTCAGCTGGCTAAACCTGGCATAATAACAAAAGTGTTGATTAATGTGCATTGTCCCTGTCAAATAAAGTAACAATGTAATAGAACTGTATCGGCTTGCTTGACATATAAAGATGATATATTTACATTTTATTTATATTTACATGTCATTTAGCAGACGCTCTTATCCAGAGCGACTTACATTTTTTTTTCTTCATATGTTGCACAGATGCTGTATTGACCTAAACATTTACCTTCTCCCTCAGGATATGTATATATTCAAAGTTAAGCCAGTGATCGTATTCATGTGCCTGGATCAGCTTCTCCCTCTTATCAAACTTCACCACCGCCCCAATTCTGAGGAACTGACACACCTATAGAGTGGGCAATAGAAACAGAACCTGGCAGAAATGTCAGCAAAGTTGGAACAAACCATAACATTTAATCAATGACAAGCCTATTGCACCAGGTATGCTATTTACCTCATAGTAAGCCATAACACGTACAGCGGTATCAGTCTCAGTATATTCCGCTGCATCCTCTTGTAGCTCTGTATCTTCCTTGTCATAATTTATCTCGTTCCCCAGGATCTGGGTTACAGGTGAGTAAGCAGGGAACCCCAGAGTCAGCTTCTGGGAAACCACTCCCTGAGAGAGCCAGTACTGCACTTGGTTCTGGGAAAACAGTACTGCATAAAGGTTAAATAGAAGGGACTAACAAACATAACATGTTCTTTGGAAATCATGAGTAGTAAAACCAGCAGACACAAACTTGATGTCCACTTAATTTCAACCAGCTCTGCCTATCAGGAATACAATTAAGTCCTTTATTTGTACTGAATAGTAGAAGTAGCGAGTGTACTTCTCTCTGAGATGTGTCCATAGCTGGATGCTTCAGGCTGAACAATGGACTGATGTGACCTGACATTCCCTCCAGTGGCCCATGGAGGTCAGCGGTCAACAAGGAGATGAAGTCAACATACCTACAGGGACAAAAGTCAGGATTACTTTCTTAGGACCATTTTTCATTACATGGAATACCAGTAAAATAATATGTGGTATGGTCTATCAACAAGTACTTCAATGAATGAAAATGTTACAAGATCATGCCGTTTGTAATGTCCCTTTGACTGTATCAGACATCAATCTAAAACTGTGAGAGGTGAGTTTCTCTCCACCATAGTCCCATACCACAGGGTGCTGTGTGTGGACTCACTGGGGAAAGGACTGTGCATCGTAGGCCTCTCTGGCATAGTCCACCAGGCCCGACACTGCTGTGGTGAGGAGCAGGGTCTCAATCCCTGAGACACGAGCCTCCTCCTGAATTCCTCCACGCAGCTCCTACGCACGCACACACTTCTCACTTTGACAACATCAAATTAAAATGCAAACATGAAGATGTCATCGTAGGTCTTACCTTGAGCAGATGAGTAAATAGATGTTTTCCCCTCTGTGCTCCATTAGAAGCAGAGGGAGGTTGCCACACCACATCCAGTCCATCAAAGCCCTCCTGCCTCAGGTGTTTCAGAGCAGACTGGACAAACGTCTTCCTCCTGGTGTTGTCAGAGGACATCTTTAGGAGCCTATGGTGGAGGGATAGTTGGACGTTACTGCTTGGGTGAAAACCTTTCAATTCCAAAAGCACCTAATTATTACTGTAAGTGCGAGTGGGGTACTGACCTGGTGTCAGTAAAGTTCCATCCCCCAACAGAAAGCAGAGTTTTCAGATCTGGGTTCCTGGTGGAGGGCAGAGAAGAGATGGAATTATACAACCTGATGGTTGTGGTAGAAACACTGATCCTGACACACCTCTCTTTGAGCATGTTGATGGAGCTGCAGAGGGTCCTGTCCTCCTGTGTGAAGGGTGTGATGTGATAGTCCTGGTCCAGGTTCATGTAGGCCATGATGATATGGGTGCAGAGGAACGGGTCAGCCATGTCCAGGCTGAAAGCAGGCACGTCAGGATGGTGCTGGGTCCTGCTGTTCACATAGCACACCAGTCGGTATTCTTCCCGAGTACAAATGGCTTTAGTGACCACCAGGCCGAACCAAACAAAAACTAAATGAAAGAGAGCAATATTTCAGCAATGTGCAACTACTATCCTCTCTACAGTACAATATCTAATGTGAAGGCAAGGCTACCATTTATACCAAGGAGATTATATTTGAATAGTAGGCCTACAATGTTCCTTACCTGCTGCCACATTCATGTTGGGCCGACGACGTCCAGGGGGGAAACGTATGTCTGACAGGGCAAGAAAGTAGGGTGGATCTAGGAAGATGATCGCTCAGGTTGTTTTGAAAAGCTGTGCCAAGAAAGACCACATTCTGTTTTTGTTACACTGATTTATATTTTACAGCTTCTAAAACCGAGCAGGAAAACACCACAACTGTACAATAAGATGGGTGTCATTTGATTATACATTGTATGCTTTAGCAACACGTTTAGTAATTGAATATTATTAATTCAATAAAAAAAAATAAGTTCTAAACATTTGATTCTCTTTCAGTGTTGTGTTACATCATATTCCACTAGTGGGAGATATTATTCCATGTTGACAACCATCCGTTATGATCATACAATTTAGAAAACTTGTTATAAACATGTTGCAAAAATATTTTTTATTATAACGGAATTTGTTAGATAAAATATATATATATATATATATATATATATATATATATATATATATATATATTAAGTTCATGTTGAGCACTCTATATTGTAGTAGTTTGTTCAAATCTAGAGAAAAACGGACATTCCACAGGTGACCTAATTAGCCTAGATACCGACAGTATTGCTGTTTATTTGCGCGCGACTTTACACAACTGTCCTCCCTTGTATGGATAACACCGGTGAAGGTCTCACTTCAAATTAGGAAAATCATTACTACATATTCACCTCAAGAAAAAAAAAAATAGGCTGTGATAGTCCTAATAACCACAACATGGGCCTATTGACCGACGACTTCTTCAAAACGTCGCACCTTCTTCTGTGGATTTTATATGGCGGTTGGCAACCAACTTTAAGGCGCATTACCGCCACCAACTGGACTGGAGTGTGGACCAGAAACGGTTAAGGTCTGTGGGCTATAAATGCGCTCTCACAGCCCGCAATCGGCGCCCTACTGGCTAAAGCGCACGTGCCATTACCAGAGTGGGTACACTCGCTATATAACGCAACATGTTTTGTGAGAAAACCATCAGTAGAATTGAAAATGCGATGGAAACCTATTTTATTTTGTATTCGGTAGCCTACATGGGAATTTAACTGCAAAATGTATTTTTATGTGCACTATGTCATCACGCAAATACTTTTATCTGTCGCCAATTGGATGGAAACCTAGCTATTGAGGTGAGGACATGGCCAATTTGGCCATCATAATCACCTTTCCCAATAGTATACAAATACGCCTGTATATTTAGAGAACTAAAAAAATTAAGAAAGGATTACACGTTAAACGAATTTGATTGGATAAAATGCTAGTGTCATGAAAGGTGCAACGGTTAGGTGTGATCATTGTCTGGAGGAGATGGAGACAGTTGAACATGTTCTATTTCAGTGCCAGAAATATGGGAGGGAAAGGGATTGTTAATAATTTGAGGAGTAATAGGGTTGAAGAGCCAGGATTAAGTGAACGGCTGTGGAAATCTTCAAGGGATGTAGTATTTAGGTATTTAAGTATGTATTTCGTTTCCTTAGGGAGACGAGAATATTGGGTAGGATTTACATGATGAGATTATTATTGGCGAAAGAGCAAGATTATTATGTCACCAGAATAAGACCCTCAATATTTATTGGAAAGGAGCATCAAGCTCATCACATTGCACTTTCCCCACCCAGTGAAGTTCATCATAATGTATTTCATCTGTAGCCTAATAAACTGCATGCTTTCCCGACAAGTCATAGTGGGAGGACCACACAACATGTCATCGTGTGACTCCAAGTTTACTTTCATATGATGGTTATTATATAAATATTTGCGCATAAAAGCGTTTCCACCGACATTTCTAGCATAATTCATTTTACCGACACAAAAATATGCCAACTTGTCTAGGGTATTTTATTTTGTCGATATGTTCTGTTTCCATTGGGCCTGTCATGACATGTTTTTATCTGACATGCACTTTACTCGCATAAGAAGGTTGGACTGAAACCTGAATAGTGAGACCAGTTGTTCAGTCACTACAGATATTTTACAGTATAGCCTATCACATGTTTATTATCATGATTTAGAGATCATCTAAGAACTATTTGTACAATACACAATAATTGAGATACAGAAATTGACTGTTTAGGCAACAACACTTTTTATTTGAAGAGTTTATTATCAACCTAAATGAATTTCAGTAACCGCTGACATATTACATTTTCCACGATCTTCATTTATTTAATACATTCTTCATACATTCAGTAGTAAAAATCCCATGTTCAAAACAGTTCCTGTGGAGAGAAAAGGATGATTAACAATTACTGTGGGTTGATACAGTTGAAGTCAGAAGTTTACATACACCATAGCCAAATATATTTAAACTCAGTTTTTCACAATCCCTGACATTTAATCCGTGTATAAATTCCCTGTCTTAGGTCAGTTTGGATCACCACTTTATTTTAAGAATGTGAAATGTCAGAATAATAGTAGAGAGAATGATTTATTTAAGCTTTTTAGTTCTTTCATTTTACATTTACATTTAAGTCATTTAGCAGACGCTCTTATCCAGAGCGACTTACAGTTAGTGAGTGCATACATTATTTGATTTTTTTATACTGGCCCCCATGGGAATCAAACCCACAACCCTGGCGTTGCAAACGCCATGCTCTACCAACTGAGCGACAACCCTGCCGGCCATTCCCTCCCCTTCCCTGGACGACGCTGGGCCAATTGTGCGCCGCCCCATGGGTCTCCCGGTCACGGCCGGCTACGACAGAGCCTGGATTCGAACCAGGATCTCTAGTGGCACAGCCTTAGACCACTGCGCCACTCGGGAGGCTTTCATCACATTCCCAGTGGGTCAGAAGTTTACATACACTCAATTAGTATTTGGTAGCATTGCCTTTAAATTGTTTAACTTGGGTCAAACGTTTCGGGTAGCCTTCCACAAGCTTCCCACAATAAGTTGGGTGAATTTTGGCCCATTCCTCCTGACAGAGCTGGTGTAACTGAGTCAGGTTTGAAGGGCTCCTTGCTCGCACACGCTTTTTCAGTTCTGCTCACACATTTTCTATAGGATTGAGGTCAGGGCTTTGTGATGGCCACTCCAATACCTTGACTTTGTTGTCCTTAAGCCATTTTGCCACAACTTTGGAAGGATGCTTGGGGTCATTGTCCATTTGGAAGACCCATTTGCGACCAAGCTTTAACTTCCTGACTGATGTCTTAAGATGTTGCTTCAATATATCCACATAATTTTCCTTCCTCATGATGCCATCTATTTTGTGAAGTCCACCAGTCCCTCCTGCAGCAAAGCACCCCCACAGCATGATGCTGCCACCCCCGTGCTTCACGGTTGGGATGGTGTTCATCGGCTTGCAAGCAATCCCCTTTTTCCTCCAGATATAACGATGGTCATTACGGCCAAACAGTTCTATTTTTGTTTCATCAGACCAGAGGACACTTTTCCAAAAAGTACGATCTTTGTTCCCATGTGCAGTTGCAAACCGTAGTCTGTCTTTTTTAAGGCGGTTTTGGAGTAGTGGCTTCTTCCTTGCTGAGCGGCCTTTCAGGTTATGTCGATATAGGACTCGATTTACTGTGGATATAGATACTTTTGTACCTGTTTCCTCCAGCATCTTCACAAGGTCCTTTGCTGTTGTTCTGGGATTGATTTGCACTTTTGGCACTGAGTTTGAAGGTAGGCCTTGAAATACATCCACAGAAGCTTCTAAAGCAATGACATCATTTTCTGGAATTTTCCAAGCTGTTTAAAAAGCACAGTCAACTTAGTGTATGTAAACTTCTGACCCACTGGAATTGTGATACAGTGAATTATAAGTGAAATAATCTGTCTGTAAACAATTGTTGGAAAAATTACAAAACTATAGTTTGTTAACAAGACATTTGTGGAGTGGTTGAAAAACAAGTTTTAATGACTCCAACCTAAGTGTATGTAAACTTCCGACTTCAACTGTAGGTAACCTAACGATTAGTAAACGGGAACCATCTGTTTTACAAGTTGCTTCATCAAGATAGATTATCTACAACAATGATAAATTGTTTATTTAGTCAGTGTACCTGCTCCAGATCCCTCTCCTCATCCTCCTGAATATTGAGGACCAGCTCCTGCCTCGCTTTCTCTGTCTGCAACCCCACAGAGAGACACACTTCAGTCAGGGAGCCTCTCCTTAACACCTAGCTAACTCAGGACTACACCCACATACGTTTATCATCTACACATTCATTTTATAATTGTATTGCTCTTTTGAACTCAACTTCTGGTTTGTAACATCATCTGAACAAGTGATTACCATGGTCATTCTGGTTCCAGGAGGCCATAGAGGTAATGGGAGTGAAAATAAAGGAGAAACAGACAGACAACTTGTCTTTCTCATGACCTCTGGCGACAATAGGTTTCAAAGGGAAGTTGAAAAGTTAATATTATAGGTAGTGGTGCCAAGTTTCCCTGGACTTGTGTTGTGTGATTAGCCTGTTTACCCTAACTGCCCCAGATAAGGTGGTGGAGGGTGAAAAGAAAGGAAGCAAGTGAATGTGCAGTGTGAGTACCAGGAACACAGCTAAGAAAATTCCCACCCTAACTTATCACACTGCTCCAAATTTCCCCTTCTCCCCATCAGACTTCAGAACAGTATCTACCTATCTCTTCCTTATTTTTGTTATAATAATATAATAATAATATGCCATTTAGCAGACGCTTTTATCCAAAGCGACTTACAGTCATACGTGCATACATTTTTTGTGTATGGGTGGTCCCGGGGATCGAACCCACTACCTTGGCGTTACAAGCGCCGTGCTCTACCAGCTGAGCTACAGAGGTTCTGTGAAGTGTTTGAGCTAGATTTTTTCCCATTGATTGGATAACTCAGAAGGAAGTGTTCCATCTTTGTCTTTGCCCAAATCGCAGACAAGACATAGTTCATGTGTACTGGGTGTAGATGATTTACATAGAAGAATCCCCTGCCTCTTGATTTACTTTGTCATTACTCAATGAGGATCTGTGAAGTGATTCATGGTCATAATGATAAGGTGTAGGAGTAGGTGGGACCTGCCTTTTCAGAGCCTCCATTGTTTCTCGACCTCTGTTGGGCACAGAGGATGGCGTCATGGACAGAGAGGAAGAGGTGACCTTGGGCAATACTGCCCTCCTCAAACACCCCTCCCTCCTCCAGCTCCTCGTACACCTGTGCTGTAAACACACACCAGAAATCAACAAAGTAATACAAGGAGCGAAACTAGGGAGTTCAGGGATTTTGCATGCCCTCTATGATACTAGGGTTTTTCTGTGAAAGACATTTAGGGACAGACATGGGCTTTTGTGGTAAGGGACTGAATTTTCCATCCAACGTGATGGAACTCAAATGACCTTAAACAACTTTTGGATCAAGAAACCCAAGGCATTGCATATATGATTCAGCAGAAGAACAGAGGCCACTTTGTAAATGAATGGTAAATTGATTGCCAACCTGCACTATTCCCTTTGATGAATCACCTCTTTATCTCAATAGGAAAAAGCGAAAAGGAGAAGGAAATGGAATATTCTAGATCCTATTATGGTCATGCTGAGATGGAATTTTAACCATTAACTATATTCTATTTAATCTTCTATGTGTCCTTAGTTTGCAGACAGTAACTCAGCTTTTTGCTCCTGCAAGTAAGATTCTGTTCCCATGACTACTATTGAAAGTCACCTGGCTGTTCGATAGGTAGCTACGTCATGAAAACTAGATCTTACCTTGAACATTGGCCAAGTAAAGCTTGATCCCCAGCAACTCATAGCTTGAGTTCATCTGTGAATGACAAACACATAACAGCACACATCAAGCCTCAACAAACTCTATGAGAGCTGCAGTGCATATCACTGTAAAAGTTCAAATGCATCCTGCACTTTCAGACTTACAGTAGTATCACTCATCATCTCACTATTCATATACTGCAGCTAGCATAATTGTAAACAAATGGCCAAGGCTTCAGCTAATGGGGATCCAAATAAAAGAAAAACAAAGAAAAACCAAATGGCTAGCTGTCTGACCTTGGTGAGTACTTTGATTCCCATGAGGTCTATGAAGCAGACCCCTGCCAGGTCCAGGATGAGGGTGTGGAAGGGCCTGGGTTGAGAGTCCAGGGTGACAGGGGAGGAACTGGGCTGTTCTGGGTCAGGAGGCTGCTCGCCCAGCTCAATGTCACTACAGTGGAAGTTGACATAGCTGGTGGGTGATGGTGGCGGGTAAGGATTGCCGTCGCAAATGCCAAAGTCATTCTGAAGCTCTAGCTGTGATATGGTCTAGACATGGGGGAGGACATAACCACAAAATAGTCAACTTAAGGTAGCTAGTTTAAACTGACTTTGGCCATTTTAATGCATGAATGCCCTTTGACCTGACGCCACTTGACCTCTGACCTCAGACTTCATGGTTACCAGAGAGCAGGGCTTCTTCTTCTTGGTCTTCTTGTTTTGCCCTTCTAACTCCTTCTGCTGCTTCTTCAGAAACTTCTTCCTGGCCAGGAGAAGTTTACCTGGGTCCAATCCAGTCTACACACAAACACACCAGATGGGAAATGATTCTAAACATAATTGACTTTGCATGGCTGAGAGAGGGATATGGCCATCCTATAGTCATTAAAGTACCTTTTTGATGACTTTCCGTCTGAATATCTCTGCATTTGCAAAATAGAGAGGGGAGCAGTAGTTCACTATTTTCACCCCCTCTACTGATTTCACCTATAGAAATAGAAAAATGTATGCATTCCATTAGATAGATTCACATTCATAAAACCTTGCTATGAAAGAAGACAAACAAAGTAAATGGTGGATACGATGTTTTACTACCTTGCTGTAGACCTTGGGATTTTTGTAGAGATCTGTGTCCATGATCTGAGCCATCTCTGAACCATTTCGACTGTGAAGAACAAAATATAACATGTATAATATATATTTTTAACAATTCAAAAACAGATGACTATAGCAAATATGCCAGTCTGTGACTTTTACTACGCAATCAGTGTTGTTTTACTTACAACTGGGTCTGGAAAATAACCACGAGGATGGAGAAGCTAACTCCAATAGCAACTCCATAAGGCAAACTCAGGAAGAACGTGGCTAAAAATGACACAACCCACACACACTGGACAAGATACAGGGTAATTAGAGCAGTATATTTGACAGTATTTGAGTATCGTCATCAGTGCTGACACTTAATCTGTGGGTCATTTGACTCACACAGTCCAGTTTGCTCTTCTTCCAGAGGTAATATGGGTCAGAGAGTTGCAGCAGGGTGTTCTTCAGGTTGACAGCTATCAGGGCTCCCAACACAGACTACAGGAATAAATGGTGATTAACACTCAATACCTTCAACATGTTATTTGTAGATCATGAACATGTATGATAAAAGATGAAACAAAGACGTCTTTTGATTTTCAACCTTCAGTGTTACTGTACGTCAGTGATTCTCAACCAGGGGGTCTAGGACTACTGGGGGGGGCCTCAGAGAGCTTTCAGGGGGTCCCTGATTTGAAAGCGCTTCAGTGGGCCCCGGAATGGAAAAGGTTGAGAACACCTGCTGTACGTCACTGTTTTTATCTTTTTTGAAAGCATTGAAATTAAGGTCCTCACCTTTGGTAGTGGTTTGAGGAAAGCCCCCAAGGCCAACATGGTGACCATGACCACCAGCATCACACACAGACTGGCAAACTGTGAAGGGGAAAGAAGAGGAGAGATTGTTTATTGAGACAAGATGACAATATTACATACTAACTGTTGTGTACTGAACAGAGCTCTGATGAAACTTGGTACATTATGTTAGTCAGTCAATCAACCAGAAAGTAAATTAACAAGTGAATGATTATTAAGTGAATTGTTAAGCATAAAAGTAAGAGGTATGTTCAATGAATACTGTGTTGTCTTGTGCCGTGCAAAGTTTCTACATGGCCCTGCTTCAACGCTCCCTGTGTCTGACCTGTGATTTTCCCCCAGCATTGTCTACTGCCAGGGTGACAGACAGAGCACAGCAGATCACATGGATCTTGAAGAAAGATCCCAGGAAATTACTGCAGCCCAGAGCCAACATCTCCTGCACAGAAACACACACTCCTATCAGTGTTTATAGTACACTATGATGAGTAATAGAGACTATATCAGAAAGCTTAGACATAGGGATTTGATGGCATTACATAAAAAATGGAACAACATGGGGTTTCCATCTCATATGTAAAAAAAGAAAAGAAAAAAAAGACAATAATGTAGATTTTCTTCCTTTCCCCTCATGCTTGTCCCCTATTCGTACCTGATTGGGATCCACATCGTAGCCATGCTTTGCTGCCAGTGTCCTGCCCATAGCCAGGTTGATCACATAGCCCACGATAGCCAGGGAGAAGGCTGTGCTCAGCATGTCATCCCACTGAATCACTGTTGGGAGGATCGGAGCAGGAAATCTAAAAGAAGAGGTTGGGATCACAGAATCTACTGTGTAAGGATAGACTGTAAAACAGCCATAATAGCAAACCATAACAGTAAACCTTTCTGGTAATGTTCTGTGTCCCTTACCCTAGGGGAATTTCCCCCACTATGTTCATGTGATACTTCTCAGGCAGGTCCAGGGGACCTGATATAGCTGTGGCCACCACCACCTGTGCAAAGGGAAGTTCTGGTTTAATCATTTATATTAGTCTTACAACTCCATAGCATAGCAAAGCATAGCATAGCATAAGAGGAACAGACTAGTCTCCTCCATTACTCACAACAATGATCTCCATGGGGATGGGGAAAGGCAGCTTGTGGCGGTAGCGTGCACTCAGCTCCTTCACTGTTATGAGAACCACACTACTGACCAGAGCAAAGACCAGCGAGGCTATGTTGGTGTCAGGCAGGCCATAAAAAATATCTTTAAGAGTCTGGGACAAAAAGGGACATAATTTTGCCAACCTTTAGAAACTTTAGAGAGGGGGATCATGGTTAGTGTAAGTAGTAATGTAGTTCTGCATGCAGATAAGAGACTTACATATATGGTGGCAAGTGGTCCACTGTAGGGAGGTACTTTAATACCAAAGATGTACTTCAGTACAGAGATGAGGATCTGTAGTCCTGCAGCCGTCATGAAGCCCCTGACGAACGACTCCGACAGGTAGATGGCCACGAAACCAAACTGCATTAGGCCCAGGCCCATCTGCTCAGATAGAATTTGTGTACCAGGTCATTTACATTTATTAAGACAGTATTATTTTCACGATACCACACTAAGGTAACATATTGTATTAACACTGTACAATGATGAACTAAGCCTCTACGTGGCCTTCAGGCCGTACCTGGATGATGGCAGTAAGGCAGGCCAGCGTTCCAGAGATGCCCATGCGAACCTCATTCATCCTGTCCTCATCCACTACTGTAGCATTGAGGGTGGCATTGAAGTGGCTGAAGTCAGACTCAGGGGCCAGACTCAGACACACCATTCCCACCATGATACTGAGCACGGCAAAAGTACCTGGACATAGAGATCACTCAATCACATCACAGTTTAAGGATCTAAAGTCTTTCATCTAAAGTCTTCAAATATCTTTGTAGATTTACAGTACATGTACAGTACCTGGGACCATTTGGTGAGCAGTGCCCATGAAGAAGTAGGGGATGAGGGGAAAGAAGGAGGAGTAGAGGCCATTGACAGGCGGTAGGTTAGCCAGCAGAGCAAACGCCATGCCTGCACAGAACATGACTCATGAATTGAATAAATCAACCATAATCAAGGGAAATATTAACTCTGATAATAAATTGTAATGTTAAAAACATCACTATGAAACTATTCTGCTTCCAACTCTCATCTGAGATTATATTTAGCAGGACAACAGCTCAAATGATGAAACAACAGAGGGAGGAGACTGACAAACCCTGAGGAACCTGAATGGTGCCTGCGCTGACCCCGCTAATGACATCACACAGCAGGTTCTCCTTCACCTTGTACTTGGGCAGCCAGCTCAGGATAGGCAGGTGTCTGAACAGCAAGGACTTGAGTCGAGACCCAGAGCACCTAATAATGTGCATCAGCATGCAAGTCTGGTTAGAACAGTCACCCTATGGCCTCATCGCTGTCTCCTCTTTATTTGGTATAGTACTAGCCCAGATCTCTCAAGGGGAACATCCTGGATTAAAATGTAAATGTCTTAATGAAAGTACTAAAGTTTTGTCAGATGAACTTCATTGACTCATGAAATGAGATAAACACTTGTGGGCTTTTGATAGTTAGCAGAATGTAAATACTGTACCTGAAGCATTTCTTCACTTTCTCTCCTATGGGGAAGGTCCGTTTCTTCTTGTCAAACTCCCCATCAAAGTCTGGGAGGGAGTAGGCTGGCCTGTTGATCACATAGCGTGGGCGCTCTTGTTGCATGGCTTCAGCCAATCAGAGGATAGTTAGACAGCCCAAGAATTGATGCTAGTATCCATGCAGCTGCATTGAGGTGTGAATGAGAGATTCAATTGCATTGATAAAATTACATTATAACATTGGTCAAAGGTTAGTCTGGTCCAGATCTGTTTGGGCTCTTGCCAACGCCATGGCTGTTATTGTCAAGCTAAACATGACTTTGGTGTGACAATTCCATAAGGAGTTGGCAAGATAGTTAGAAGAAACAGACTGGTACCCTTCCCTGGCTACTCAAATGACACTCACACAGCAGAAACTCGTTTCAGGTGGCTTAGTTGTTGGCATCCATATACAAGGGAGGTCTATGAATATCAAGCAACTATAATACATAGGAGGTGGTGGTTAGAAATGTGTACGGTTGAATTAAGCACCCTTATTTCCTGAGTATAAACCTCTCCTGTTCTGCTGGGTTCCTAATCTAACCTTGAGAGAAGTAGGCAGGTCCAGTGCCATTGTGTCGGAACAGAGCTAGATAACCAATCTTACAAACTAGAGGCACGTGGTCAGTCACACAACAGCCCCTCTCACACTACAAAGACCATGGTAATACTGAAATAATACTGTACTGAAACATTGGTTGAATAAATACATTTTACAGACCATAAAGATTAGATTTTTCAGTAATGCAAGTGAAAAGAATAGAGATAAAGAACTTATATTTTGAGATCAGAAATATCTTATGTCATGCATGTGTGCCAGAGTCAGAATACAAATGTTATATCAGAGAGCCTACAGTAAGACAATAGACCACCAAGTGTCTTACATTTGACATGAGGTGACCTGCAACATACTAAGCATATTTCAAAATCAAACATAAGGCAGAGTAAAGTGACCAACAAATCGTAAACAAAGCAAGTATGCTGCACTGTACCGTACCGTCGGAGTGAACCATCTGATGGCACTGGTTTGAGTTCACACCCCAGAAAGGTTCATCATTTGTTTTATACTGCCGCTGTGCTGACACCTTCTCCATGGGAGGAGCCATACATGGCAAACCATGTCCTAGCTTAATTTAGAGGGAAAGTCATAGGCATCATGTTTAGTTGGAATAGTTAATTGTGGAAGTACAATATGATTATGGAAATTATTATTTAAATCAAGGATCTGTCTAAATAATAATATCATACAATCACAGTTCAACATTTATTAACAGACAATGTACAACCAAAATACATCTTGTGAATACAAAAACTCTTATCATGCAAATCGAAACAATTGTTTATTTAAAATATTGATCTCCCTCTCACCAACAGCCTCTCTCTCTCGCTCATACAAAAACACACCGTTCACACATTTGCAGACATTTCTATACAAATAGCGAAGGAGAACAGGTTTTAAATCAAGACCAACTTGTATAAGGTTGACATTCTGTTTAAATACATTCAATATTTAATATGATAAAAACAAAGCAAAAAAAGTGCTGATCAAAATGAATATAAGGAAGAAAACATATGAAGATAGAAACAGAGAAAAAGAGTTCCATACACCAGTGTATTAGTTTGCGTCATATCTATCCTCACGCTCTATGGCATTTTTTCTTTAAAAACAGATGGCAGCATTGGAAGTGCAAATCCAATGGAATTAATAACATAATTTAAAGTGCATTATTATGTATTACATCAAACATGTATGTGTGTTGTTTCCTAAAAGAGAATAACAAATATTCAAAAACATATGACAAGCCATCACCCAGACAGAGATAGCAATGACTGGCCAAATAAGCCTGCTCCCCCTAGTGGCGGAAGGAGAAACAGCAGATAGATCACGTAACACAATGACAACCTTTTTCCATGGGTGTATTTGATACTTCCTCATTAGACATGATATTGGATCAATACATTTCAACCTGAAACTTAAAATACAATTATTAAAAACGGTGGCTTTTTAGAAAGCTTCGACCCAAATCCTCAGAGACAAACCCCCACAGCCTACATGACCCAGTCTTGATCCCTAAGCCGCTCTACAAATAGCCTTGTGCAAATCCTTGCTTAGAAACATAAGCCACTGCTGCCTGCCATTACAGATAAGCAGTAGTTCCCCATCAGAAGGAGTTTTTCCAAGTGAATATAGGGCTACTCACTGGGGACCGAGTGGCGCAGCGGTCTTAGGCAGTGCTGGAGGTGTCACTACAGACCCGGGTTCGATCCCGGGCTGTATCACAATCGGCCGTGATTGGGAGTCCCATAGGGCGGCGCACAATTGGCCCAGCGTCGTCCGGGATAGGAGAGGGTTTGGCCGGGGTAGGCCATCATTGTAAATAAGAATTTGTTCTTAACTTGACTGGTTAAATAAAGGTTTTTAAAAAAATAGCTGTTACTGTATGTATAGTAGTGGGGGTTGACAACAATTTAGTGCTTGTCCGGAGTGTGTAACTATGTCGACCAAAAGTTCAAAGAACTCTTATGCAGCCATCCCAGCTTCTCCGAGCTCTCTTTCGTTGAAACCTATTTTTGAACAACTCTTCTGCAACTGGCTGGTTCCCCAAACCCTGCTCTGCAAAACTCCTACCCAGTGTATGGCGGGTAAAATGGAGGGTGATCAGAAGTCACTGAGGATACTGATGTCTGCAAACTCCTGGCGGTACCTGTGGGAGTACAGGGCCAGGAGGAAGGCCCACTTGAGAGTGAGGAAGCTCCAGACACAGGACAGGTACAGGCTCGTTGGGTCAGTGGGCGCTGCAGGACGGGAGAGAATATACAATTTGTCAAACGTTTTCAGAATATCTCTACAATGTTAATAAGCTGTTATTTATATATGGGGGATTGGAAGTGATGCAGACAATTACATTGATGGAAGTTACAATCTATCTGCAATATTAAAGCTGATCTACCCCCAAAAAATTAAAATAATGTAAGAAATAAAATACGTATTTACTAGTTGATATATAGTTTATAAATCTGTAATCAATAGTTATATATCAGATAAGAGAATATGAGACAGAAAGACTCACATTGCTTCTGTGTGATGGCGAGGGTGAGGAAAGTAGCGAAGGCCACCACAGCCAGTATGGAGAAGAGACCCCCAACGAAGATGAAGAACTTGAGTCCCTTCAGCCATGTGCGCCAGTAGTCCTGCAGGTACATAATGTGGGTGACAAGGGCCCAGAACGCCAGCACTCCTGTTGGGTGACAGAAACATGTGGAATACTTGATCATACTCTCCAGAAAGGCAGGCATACTGTGAAACATCATGACTGAACTAGGACATAGTGACAGTGTGCTTAGTTAGGGAGCGTCACAGAAAAAGCCATTGGTGAACAAGATGTGAGGGGTCCTTGCGCTAATTAAAGGTTGTGATGCTAAATGTGATGCAAACAGTCAGCCTATTCAATTCACACCTCTAAGCATTAATTCAAAAGTTGTAAGTAATGGTCTCAGTTCATCAAGGTCTTAGGCTAGACCAGGGATGGGCAACTTTGATGGGGATGGGGGCCACAAAAAATCTGAACTCATCATGAGGGGCCGATCTACACCCCAAATTGCGAGCAAAACATTTGTGACCCCCTCGACAGCGGAGATTACAAAAATTACATTTTAGAGTTAATTTCGTACAATTCTACACATTTTGCCATGGGGTGTAGAGAAAATGTTGCCGTTTTAAAGAGTTTGCTTGCTATTCTATACATTTTGCCATGGGGCGGAGATGTACATGAGCTGTTTTACAGCTAATTTCCTGCAATTCTACACATTTTGCCATACGCTGAAGAGAAATGTTTGCAGTTTTTAATATTATATCTGAGTTAGACTGACTAACAAAATCAATGGGACTTACATAAGAAGAAAACTGCTGATGCACAACCAAATTTAGAAATCGCACCTTGTGTATTCTACTATTCTAACTCGAAACAGTAAGTTGAGACCCCGACTGAGTTCCTAATAAAAAATTAAATATATTTTTGTTAAAATTGATCCAAGGGCCTTCAAAAAAGTGCTATTTGTCCATCCCTGTGCTAGAGCTTTAAGCCTTTTTTTTGCTACAGTAACAACAAAGTATTACACAAAAACAACATTTCACAGAAACCATGAGAAATATCAAACAGGCTCTGAGTGATTTGCATGCACTGACATACTAGTGGAGGACATTGACAATTTTATTCAACATTGTGGTGAAATGCCCATTAAATGATGAAAAATGTATGCACTCACTAACTGTAAGTCGCTATGGATAAGAGCGTCTGCTAAATGACTAAAATGTAAATGTAAATTGTATCTAGGCCTAGGCCTACAAGTCTCTGGGTGGTCCTCTGTAGCTCAGCTGGTAAAGCACGGCGCTTGTAATGCCAGGGTAGTGGGTTCAATCCCAGGGACCACCCATACACAAAAATGTATGCATGCAAGACTGTAAGTCGCTTTGGATAAAAGCGTCTGCTAAATGGCATATAAATATTATTATAAGTCTGTCATGTGTGTGTTGTGAACAACATTAGCAACAACAGTGGAGATGTCGGCTCGACTTCAAATTAAAAGTCCCCAATTGAAACATGCAAACTGATAAAAACTGTGGGATCATGCCACAATTGGACTAGATAATGCTAAACAATGTTGGCATGTCGTTATATAAATTAAACAAATTAAAATAATTAGTTAATTTGACACGAAACAGTAAAGTCAGTTGAAATCGTACAGTGGATGTATTAGACTTCAGAATTGCATTGGGGGCATACTTATATGCACTGTACAGCCTTAACTATCTTGGGTCCATGAAATGGGGTATCAGCCTACTCAGTGACACCCACAGATCACAATTCTGAAGAGTTTACACAAATATTAGCGGCGTAGCTCTTATTGTGTAACTTTCGTAATCTGTGGGTTTTACAGAGTAGGCTGATACCTCATTTCATGGACCCATGATCCATAAGTAGCCCAAGGCTGTACAGAGCAGCTAACTAAGTATGCCCCCAATGCAATTCTGAAATCTAATATATCCACAGTGCAATTTCAACAGATGTATTTTTTCAAATTTAGTAATTTTTGTCTTTTGTTGAATTTCTATAACAACATTGTTTAGCATTATCTAGTCAAATTGTGGCTCATTCCACTATTCTTATCCGTTTGTATCAGTTTCAATCAATTACTTATATATATATATACACTAGATGACTGTGTTGAAGCCACTGTTCCTCCATCTTGGCACTGCCCCACTGTTGTAAAATATATTTTGGAAGCTATAGAAATGCATTTATTAATGCCTACATTCATTTTTGCAATGTTTATTTTATTTGAGACACCTTAACGCATACTTTTACATTATATTATGTGTTACACATAAAAATAAATATAAAAACATTTTCCTTCAAGTATAATTTTTAGAGATTACTAATGTTACTATCTCCACTACAACAACAAAAATACTTAAAATACATGCAATTTTGTCCTTGAAACATTTAATTGAAATACTGCAGAATTTCATTCATTCCTGCATTTAATTGAAATACTGCAGAATTTCATTCATTCCTGCAGAGGACTTTTCCTAAGGCCCCTTCCTATTCGGGATCCTTGGGACGTCCCTACCCCATTGAAGTTTACATATAAAATGGCTATGTTAGGGTTTAGGGTAGGGACGTCCCAAGGATTCCAGATAGAAATATGGTTTCAATGGGAAACTTTTATTTTGGAGGCAAACCCCCGATTCCACTATTGTTGCTCAAGCTAATGTTGTTAACGACACACTGGTATGTCCGTCATGCTATGTTGATACTGTACCTGACAATCCGCCCATTGCCGCCGTCCACTGTTGTTTGTATGCTATGTTCCAGACCAAAAAAGCTGAAAATCCAACCAGCATACCAAAGGTAGCATATCCTATACTGATGTATGTTCTACTGTTCCCCATTAGCACAGATAAAACTATATCTTTAAGTTGAAAAGTAAACAAATAAATAGACTATATAGACGGTCAATAAAAAGGCATAAAACGTAGCCTGACAGATTTAGACAAACACAGCTCACATAGTACAGTAATTACGCAACAGCAGTCCTGGCTGGCTGGCTGCTGTATCCTGAATTCACACGAACTGGCTATAAAACAACTGATTTCAACTACATCGAATGAACCATCGCGAATTGATACAATCGAATTGGTTATCGAGCGAATACAACACTCGCTACAAGTATGTAAATTACACTCCACCGACAACACAGGAGCCTACAGTGGCAACAAAATAACAATTTATCCTATCTGCCCAGGAAGCTTCATCTTCTTCGTTGGGGTTTTACAGCGGACTATCTCCAAAAAGTTGAATTGCTGCCACCTACTGTGCGGGATAAACATAAAAAGATGCCAAAAGACAAAATTATGTGGATAAGAACATTCTCAGTGGTGGGAAAAGTACCCAATTGTTATACTTGAGTAAAAGTAAAGATACCTAATTAGAAAATGTCTCAATTAAAGAGTTGGTTTTAAATGTACTTACGTATCAAAAGTTAATGTAATTGCTAAAAGGCAGAACACGCCCCCATTCACATTGACAGGGCTGTAGTTGAGCGGGTCGAGAGTTTCAAGTTCCTTGGTGTCCACATCACCAACAAACTAACATGGTCCAAACACACCAAGACAGTCGTGAAGAGGGCACGACAGCTCCTTTTCCCCCTCAGGAGACTGAAAAGATTTGGCATGGGTCCTCAGATCCTCAAAAAGTTATACAGCTGCACCATCGAGAGCATCCTTACCGGTTGCATCACCTCCTGGTATGTCAACTGCTCGGCATCCTACCGTAAGGCGCTACAGAGGGTAGTGCGTACGGCCCAGTACATCACTGGGGCCAAGCTTCCTGCCATCCAGGACCTATATACCAGGCGGAGTCAGAGGAAGGCCAAACAAATTGTCAAAGACTCCAGTCACCCAAGTCATAGACTGTTTTCTCTGCTACCCGCACGGCAAGCAGTACCGGAGCGCCAAGATTAGGTCCAAAAGGCTCCTTAACAGCTTCTACCCCCAAGCCATAATACTGCTAAACAATTAATAAAATGGCCACCCGGACTATTTACATTGACCCCCCATACCTACATGTACAAATTACCTTGACTAACCTGTACCTCTGCTCATTGACTCGGTACCGGTACCCCCTGTATATAGCCTCGTTATTGTTAATTTATTGTGTTACTTTTTATTAAATTTTTTACTTTAGTTTATTTAGTAAATATTTTCTTAACTCCTTTTCTTGAACTGCATTGTTGGTTAAGGGCTTGTAAGTAAGCATTTCACGGTAAGGTCTACACCTGTTGTATTCGGCACATATGACAAATACAATTTGATTTGATTTGAAAGTATCAAAAGTAAATTCTATAAATAATTTCAAATTCCTTACATTCAGCAAACCAGACAGCACGATTTTCTTGTTTTCATTTTTTTTATGGATAGCCAGGGGCACGTTCTAACACTCAGACATCATCTACAAACAAAGCCTTTGTGTTTGTGAGTCCGCCAGATCAGAGGCAGTAGGGGTGACCACATGTTCTCTTGGTAAGTGCGTGAATTTGACAATTTTCCTGTCCTGCTAAGCATTCAAAATGTAACGAGTACTTTTGGGGTATCATGGAAAATGATTGGGAGTAAAAAGTACATATTTTCTTTAGGAATGTAGTGAAGTAAAAGTAAAAGTTGTCCAAAAAAAATGTCATTCATATTTTTCAGAGGGTGCTGCACCCCTACTTCCCATGGCTATGCTCAGACACACAATTAATCAGAACAAGTCCACTCCTGGTCACTCTGATTGAACTTTTCCAAACATATGATTCACCCTCTTCGGGACCCCAAACGGATCTCTCAGATAAACATTCTTATCAAAAAAATCACAACCCAACAAGAAACAAATCCTTGTCTGATAAACACTTATCATCTCTTCAATTATCAACACTTTTTTTTATTTTTCATTCCATTCTTCGACACTGCTGTTGTCCATTCATCTTCTCCAACTCCACTCGACACACTTCTTGTTTCAAACTCGGCATCCACTTCCGCCATGAATCCACCTTGGGCCCAAGGAATCTTCTTCTTCTTCTATGGTATTATGGCAGTCCGCAAACATTCGTCCGAGATGCATGCCTGTTAGGGTTGGGGTGAGGTGTGACCCAGGTGCGGTGCAGGATATACAGAACTTAGTAGGCAGAGATGGTGAAACAAGGATCTTTACTGGTGGTCCCGAAGCCAAAAATACAAAACAACGGACATATCACGATAAAAGAAAGGCGGAGCAAATAAGTCTCCAAAAACCGTCTGACAGCCAAAATACTAAATACTACCTAAGACTGAAACAAATAACGAAACAGGGAGAACACTTCTCAAGTACCTGTACATAGATCTCCGATCAGACACTGAGTAGTACTGCTGGACATAGGGAAACTAGCAGAGAAAACTGAGCAAGGGAACACAGGGACGTGAGGGCAAAAATACACAGGTGAACCGATAGACACAGGTGACACCAATAGGATGATGATTAGTCCCGACTGTGAGTGAGGAGGTGCCTAAGGTTATCGGAGGATGACACCTAGTGGGTCGCTCCGGAACTGCAACCCCCTCCTGTAACACATGCCGGCACCTACTGTACGGGTGGTAAACTATAGAAACAAATAACTATTGTAGGAAAGGGGGTAAAAAACGACATCATACAAAATATAAAAATAGACAAATATATTTTTTTTTAAAATCTCACTCCCACTCCACAATTGCAGCATTTAACCTCTCCACTAGCATTGAATACTCTTCCCGTCTGCATACACTTGACACAGGACCAAATCTTTTGCATTGATGGCACTTAAGGGGTTTGTGCACGAAGGCTCTTACAGGGTATCTCACATAGCCCAACTTGACATGAAAAGGGAGAGACCCTTCATCAAAGAACAACAGTATGGATTAAGTTAATTTCTTCACTCCATCTACCATACGGGTCAGTCGACGTGCACCAACCACTCCACCTACATCCTCAGGTACTACATCTGCATGCACTTTATGCACTACCCCAGAGATGAAGATCCATACATTAAACATTCCACTAATATATCTTCTTGAGGCACAATGCACACCTCTTCTGCTCCTCGGACACACAAAAAACCTAAATAAGCCCACTTCTTGTGACTTCCATTGACGCCACTTCACCCAGCGCTTCCATGACATTTATTGACACTTCAAACGGATCTCCCAGGTTACATTGGTCCAAAACCCTCACTCCAACTAAAAATGAGTCTAGGGGTTTCCTAGTTTCCACCACAACTTTACTTCTCTTCTTTTTCGCCACTGTAAACCACTCCTTCTCACTCTCTGTGCTCTAATCTGCACCCGACTCGCCAGCAGTTTCAAACAAAACATCAGTTTCTGCCATCTTCCCACCGCCCGACTCCTTCCGGACCCTGGCCCAGGAATGATCAAGATTGTGTGTTATGTTCTAGAGCCAATGCTGCAGTGTCTTTCTTTCTTCAGCCAAGAGTCAAATTCATTTTACTGAGCTTTCTAAAACAGGCTGTCTTGTATGCATGGTTATTGATAAGCATCCATCATGTCCCAAAGTTTTTTTGGTCTCTCAAATACAAGCGATATTTAGCTAACCATAGTGGAAGATCTTTGCTCTGGGCAAACATCCACATAGCAGGCCCAAACAGTGCCTCCTGTGGCCTAGAGATAAACTGTTAATACTGGGCTAAATGCAGGCCTATAATAAAAAAACACAAGGATATTGTGACTTGCTACTGAAGCAGTATGATATTGTATGTAGTTATAGTATAATTGTAGTTTTCATTATGCTGGATGATTCAGATGAGTACTGCCGGGGCTTGTTGGGGGAGGGCAGGAGCCACACAGGTAGGCTAGCACAAGTAGCTCAGGCCGCGGGAACGAGAGTAGCCTGAAAGCTAAAACTTTTAATAACTTGAATAAATAAAAGAATAGGTTAAATAATAAAAACTTGTGCATAACCAAGCTATGTAACTAGGATTCTTTAAAAATGAATCTAGTAACAAACTTCAAATCAAGTCACAAACAGCGAACAAACAAACAGTTGTCTCTCTACTGATGTAAGTTCTACAGGTAGGGTTTCCCCTTCTGAATCAAAGTGTGGAAGTCTCCTTCCTCACTCCTCTCTAACATATAGGGTCAAAAATTACAAAAAGTCTCTTTACAATTCAGAATGTTGAATAAACGTAATTTGAATTTACTCTACCTCTTGCCCGCTCATTTCGTCATTATGTGGGTTGAAACATGAGACCAAATATCCACAGGAAAGTGTTTATTAACCCGACTTTCAGAGCGCTGGTCTGTATATGGTTCTGGGTCTTTCCACCAGTTAGGTGTCTTTTGAGTAGTGCAACTTTAATATATTCTGTCATAAAGAGCACAGCTTCAACTTAATAAAAAACATGTTTTGGCATCTCAAGAGGTTAAATAAAAAAAGGAATATAGTAAGTGCCTATTAAGTGCCAAATAAAGTAACAGGATTGACCATAAGAGGGTTCAGTACTTCATCTTAAATCAGCCATAAATCCCCTTGTGACAGAGGGAATGGAAGCTTGTTGTGTGCAACAGGGAGGGGCAATTGCATGCAAGCTTCACAAAAAAATGAGATTGTTAAAACATTTCTAGCATGCCTTGGCCCTATCTATGGGTAACAGGGTTGACGTGTTATACTCGACCCACTCAGTTTTCCACCACAAAACACCAGAAAATGGCCAAAAAATACACTATGATTTGAAAATGTGATGTTAACAAAAAAAAGGGACTAGTTTCACCACATTAAAACGAGACTTCAGTTCACGTAAAAGGGTTGACCTTAAAATGAGGGCAGACATACAGTATGTGAATAATTAAATCACATGAAAGAAATAGTAATCTTCAGAAATGACTTTGTCAAAGCAAAAAAAAATAAAGAAATGTTGGCATTAAGTGGGTTCAAATCTTCCTAGAAGTCAAAGAGGATTCACTTTAGCAAGTCTTTATTCATATAAAAAATCAGATTTATTGAATTTTTCATGTGGTCTATATTAAAGATGCACTATCCTCTGTAGCTCAGCTGGTAGAGCACGGCGCTTGTAACGCTAAAGTAGTGGGTTCGATCCCTGGGACCACCCATACACACACAAAAAATGTATGCACGCATGACTGTAAGTCGCTTTGGATAAAAGCGTCTGCTAAATGGCATATTATTATTATGCAGAAATCATTCTGCCATTTCCTGGTTGCTAAAATTCTAATAGCTCGCCTAATTTCT